ATCTTCATTTTGTCCCTTCAGCCCAGCACTTACTGAGACAACCTTGTGAGGGTGAAGACACTAATTCATAGATAAAAACCAGTTTACAGGAGTTAGAGATTGTAAGGAAATGGGTTTATAGAATGGACTTCATGCACATGAGGGAACAGATATGGCAACAGTAGGACCACACAGTCAACTTCTCCAAATGTTCCCCTTCTGGTTTCTCCCTATATATGCCTTGTTCTGTCCTTAGTCATTGCTCTGCTGCACACTGCAGCTCTTGTGCTGACTGACAGTAGGGGCTGACACATGATTCTGACTGCTTGCATGAAAAAAGTGTCTCTCTGATTTATTTCCTTACAGCCAATCCTTTGGGTATTCTTATAGCAAACATGCTGTCACCTGCACTAGTTCCTGAAGGAAAGCACATCCCATTGATGGTAAATGAAAACTGCTTTAATCTGGCAGCTGAGCTGATTGGGTCCAGCTGATTTATTTATTTGGAGGCAGTGGAGCTGGAAAGACTGGTAACATATCTTTACTTTGTGTTGTGTAGCTGGGTGTTTATGCTGTCCCAGCAGTAACAGCCTGTGCTCTAGCAACTGTGGGGATTCACGAGAAGGTTCCTCCAACACCTCCTTCAGCCAGTGCCACTAGCTCCACCTCCCAACCATTCCTTAAGGGGCTCAAAATGGTAAGTGCTGTATCACAGAGAGAGACCAGTGCTGGAGTGAGGGGATACAGCCCTTCCAGACAGAGATATGCTGGGGAATCTGCTGACAAAGCAGGCTCAGAACTCCACTCCACCAAACCCGACGTGGAGAGCTCCCTGAAGACCAGGATCCCTTCATTCTTTAGGGAGTGGAAGCTGCTCACAGCAAAGCTGAGAGAGATGCTATCTGACCATTCAGCTGTGGGCTGGCTGCCATTTGGCTAGCTCTAATGGGTGCACCTGGGTTCCTCCAAGAGGACCACACAGCCTGAGTCTTCTGAGAAGATTTGGTAACAGGTAGGAGAGCACATGGCAAAGTGAAGGAAGAACCTGGGCACTGAAGAGATCCTTCCTCCCTACATGGTCCCCATTGTAAATTGTCCTCTGGCTAAACTTGTCCTCTCTCTGACAGGAGAGAGCAAAACTTGTCTAGTGATCACAGGGTTGCCCTGTCAGCATTTGCAACTGAGGTGTCAGAGCCATTGGCCCTGAAGTCTACTGTCACAGACAGGCCTTTTTTTCTCCCTCCACTTGTTTAAATGATACATTAACTTCTTTCTCTAGCTCCTGAGAAACAAGCCGTACATCATCCTGGCAGTGTGCTTTGGAGGAGGAATTGGGATGTTCACCTGCTTTTCAGCTCTGTTAGAACAGATCCTTTGTGAAAAGGGGTATTCAAATGTGAGTATTGCTCCTTTCTTCCCCATTGTCCACATCATCTATGATACAATTAAAATTATTTTCCCTGATAAGAGACTTGAAACAAAATGAAGACAGTTGAATATGCTGCACTGTCTCATTTCTTACTTGCTCACATTATCTAATATAGATTAAGCAGTACATCAGTGCAGAGCACAGTCAATCTCTCAGTATAACAGATGATCTGTATTTTCATTACTGCCTATGGCCAGGCTCCCATTTGCAAATGAAAAGCCTCAAACACTTTTTAGGAAAGAAAAAAATTGAATTTTTTCTAAGCCACTCCAGAGCACTAATGTCTATGCAGCCTTCTGACACCTTCCCCACAGTAGGATGGGGCCCACACAGGCCCTCGAGTGAAGCTGAAAGCAGGCTGCTGCAAGTGCCTTTTCCTCTTTGCCAGGGTCTTACATGAAGCCAGGCCAGCAGAGGAAGTCATAGGTAATGTGGCAGCTGTTTCCCCATCCTTCACATGACACATGCCAGGTGCTGCTGTTACAGTTGATGACAATGTGTGGACAGCTGGTTCCTCCTGCTCTCTCCCTGGAATAGCAAGGGGCTGCCCCAGTTCCTGTGTTTCCCCTCAGGCAGGCAGAACTTCAGTCCTGCTCCTTGAATCCCCATGAGTTCCTCTGTTGGAAACATTTTAAACGCAGAGCGTGTGCCCTAGTATAAGTACTGCTCACTGCTTCTCTAATTAGACCTCCTTGCTATAGCCAGGCAATGCAGTGTCTCATCTAACATGCTTTGGGGCTGCCAGCCTTGTGGAAGGCATTATTCCAGTGCAGGTCCCTGGTAAGAAAAGGGCCAGGAGCAGGATTATAAACAGGAGCAGATCCTAAGGCAGTTGGACCTGTTACCACCAGTGTGGACACGGAACCCATTTGCCCTTGGAGGAGCCAAGAACAGTCTCATGCCTGGGCTGGAGCATTTAATGCCAAGGAACTGTTGTTGCTCTGCACCCAGCCTCCCTTGCCAGGTGTGCAGTCTTGTCATCCATTGAGACCTTGGGAGTGCTGTGGCCCTGCTGTCCGCACACACTTGTAGCAGCACCCAGGCCCCATTATTTGCTACTCAGAGCCCTGTGGAGGCTTCAGCTATTGCAATGGGCAGAGAAGCTTGTCCTCCCTTAGTAAGTGACCCACTAGCAGCAGGCAGACAGGTCGTTAAAACCTTTCCTAACTGCTCTAGTTGCTCAGTTACTTGTTTTTCTGCCCTCCAGGAATTTGCTGGCCTGAATGGTGCTTTGTTCACAGTGTGTGGTTTGTTGGGTGCTTTCCTGCTAGGCCTGTATGTCGACCAGACAAGGAAGTTCGTAGAGTCCACCAAGATTTGTTTCTGTCTGAGTGCACTTGCCAGTATTGTGTTTGCAGTGGTAAGTTCTCCCTTGCATTGCACCATACCTGTGGGCTTAGTTCTGTTGCCAGCTGATAAATCATCAACTCAAACCAAGGTCATTTGATGTCATTGATGTCTAAGTGACATGTTATGCTTTGGGATTATCTCTCTGGGATAGGAATGTTTTAAAGAAAAACACTTTACTGAGGATTTCACAGTCATAGTGGAGCCTGAGACAGACTGCTTCAGGATATAAATAAATTGGCATAATTTTACTTCTTATATTGGATCACCATGTTTGTTTACTGGCCCTGAGACCATTCTTTCAAAAAAAAAATTGAATTGCTAAATATCCGTCTTAGAAAAATGAAC